CAGCAAACCGCGTCGCGGTGTCGCGCAATACATACGAGGGAAGCAATCGTTGGAGGACGCGACAAAGCTGTAGCTGAATGCGTCTGCGGATAGGAAAGGGTCTGCGTCGTGCTGTCGCAGCGGGTTGGTGTCTTCGGAGGATGTCGGTCGAGGCTGCCCATGAGAGGCTTGCGCCGGGCCTAATCCTGCTGCACGTGGGTCTTGGCCGCCCATCTCCGCATCAAGGTCCGACGGCGCCGATGCGAAAGATGAACTCAACTCTCGAGCCCGTTCCATTGATAGCTCCTCGAAATATTCTTCAAAACTGAAAGACGAGTGTCGCGATATCGGCAGATCGTCTGCTGTCTCACCTGGTGAATCCATTGTCAGTACATTCGTTCTGGGTGCAGCAAGAGCGGGCGGTAGCGGTAGCGGTGCAGGCAGTAGCAAGGCTAGGAGAGTGTGCACAAGAGGGAGAGGGCACCTCTACAAGACAGACGGGAGCCTCAGATCAGGTCATCAAAGGTGAGCCCGTTCCGGCACATTTGGCCGTCACTTTTTGGTAGGGAAAGAGCCAAGCACTGAAAGTTTCCACCCAGAACCGCGACCCAGGCCAATCGCAGGACCATTAAAGTAACCCATACGTGTGAATTACCTGCCAGTACCGGCCCTGAGCCCTGGAGGACTTGACAGTGAGATGCCCCCCAAGAAGAAAGCCCAACAAGGCGCGCCTGCCAGGCCGGCGGCGTCATCTGAACCAGCGAGACAACCCCCGAACTGGCCTGCCCTCGCTCCTCTCGTACCAGAAGAGGACCTTGCCCTGCACGAGGTGCTTCCAAAACAGATTGTAACCATCCCTAACTTCTTCACGGCTTCGCTATGCAAGACCTACGTGTCTTTCCTCTCCTCGTTGCCATTGACGACAACGCCCGGGAAACCGAAGAAAGGCGATGCTGTGCGAGTCAACGATCGCTATCAAATCGATGACCCTACGTTCGCTGAGCGACTATGGAACGACACAGGACTAAGGAGGCTAGTCACCGCCGATGCGGAGGAAGGGGCGCTCGGCCTCACTGAAGCGCAGCGGAAAGAGCTGTGGGGCGGCGAGGTGGTGGGCCTCAATCCCAACATCCGTGTCTATCGGTACTCCAAAGGCCAGTTCTTCGACCAGCACTGTACGTCATGACTACTTGGTCACTCTGCCCAAGTCATCGGACGGTCGTGACGAAACCCATGCTAATGGAGCCAGATGACGATTCCAACAATGTGACCATTCAAACTCCTGGATCACCGCCTGTGTCGACGCGCACTACCTGGACCTTGCTGATTTACCTCACCTCGCCGGCCACGGGATGCATCGGTGGAGAGACCGTCTTCTACCCGGACCCGCCTAAGAAGAAGAGCCGAGACACTCCACCTGAGCCTTTCGTTGTCGACCTTGAAGTCGGCCTCGCGCTGCTGCATCGACACGGCCCCGACTGCATGCTGCACGAAGGCCGCGAGGTAACGAACGGAGAGAAATGGGTCATCAGAAGCGATCTATGTGTCAAGCGTTGAGTCCACATGGCTCTCCGGTACCGCGATTCGTGGTCGCTTCTTCTTTCTCCATTTGTGAACACCAACATTCACTTTTGGAAATCGACGACCACCTATGCGTGAATAAGCCATACTTACGAGGCTGCGTATATTCTGCCGAAGTCTGTTGCGTCGTGTTCTGCTGCAGCGTGTGGCTGTGTATCTTGCGTACTCACTTGCAGATGCGATAAGAGTATCCTTCTTTTACGGACTACGCTGCAGTCCTGCATTCCATATCTCTAAAACGTAAGAGATCGGAATATCAGGGTAAAATGTCTCTTAGAGAGCACGACCGGTGCACGCACGTAGGTGTAGCACAGCGTGAATGGTATCGCTATCCGTAATCCTGTCGTACACCAGCGCCGTGCAGTCGACGAAAGCGGTGGAAAAACCTTACCGTGAAGTCGTACAAGACATGACATGGCTACAGCTGTCACACCATGCGGCAGGAGTTTGAACGAAGTACAACCGTGGTTCCAGTTATCGTCTGGTTCGCTTTCCATATGTGGCATTCGCAACCTGGCATATTTCACACCCCCACAGTAGCTTACCGCACATTCCAATATTGCAGAACACCCCTTTTTTGTCTTCAGGCGCTTCACCAACCTCCTCGATACAATCTCTTTTGTTTCCTGGCTCTTCAAGCTTTCGCTGCTCATAAGACGGTCCCTTAGCAACGTCTATACATCCTCTATTCGTGTACTTGGACACAAATGAACGAGCCGGCTCCTCTCGATCCATATCGACATCTTCATCGCGGCTGATACGCTCAGCAAGCTTCCACGGGGGCTCGAGATACGAACAGAGTGGCGACGGCGCGTTCTAAAGCACGAAAGCCAACGTCGGCTGCAGTTAACAAAGTACGAATGTTCATGCTCGATGTTTGGATTGGGTTTCAGGCTATCCTCGCTTGAGGCGGAAGACGAGATGGCCTCATACTCTTGGCGATTCATCGTCGGTTTCATCTCGGCGCTTTAACGCAACAAGGATTAGCTTACGGATACGCCCTTCCAACATCCCGTTTCATCGCCCTCGACTCACGCCTAAGACTTCCGATTGAGCTATCGCCGGCGTCTACAATGAGTGGGGAGGGTAGGCGCCACCAGGAACGACAGCCTCGACGTTTCGGTGTGGGCCGGCACGTTTGACATGCGAGTACATCTGTACGGAGGCCGCTGCTGCCTTTGGCTGTCCAGCTGCGCTCACTTTCGTTTCTAATATCAAATTCCACGACCGACCTGGTGTCACTTATTCTATTCGATCGACATGATGGAGCCACAACACCATTACGCAGATGTACACTCACAGGACCATCACCATGATGACGACTCGTCGACAGAGGTCGAATCCTTAGTTGGAGGAGAGAAGCAATGGGCAGCTGGCGACTATCACAGAAGAGCACCATCATCACGAAGGAATATATTATGCCCACCGCTAGTGGCGGCGATGCGATGGGTGCTGGTGATAGGACTACAACTCGTAATCATTGGGCTCTTGGCTAGAGACCAAGGCATGCTCGACTCGACAAGATGGAAGGCTCGATCAACAAGCGCGAACGATGTTGGAGGAGACATCACTGGGTGGTCACCACATAGTAAGACTTACCGTACAGTTCAGGCCTGTCCATCGACTAACAGAATGCAGTTCCTACGCAGATCACCAAGTTCGAGATTAACCAGACATTTGCGCCATACAACACATCAGAGTTCTTTAAACCAGAAGTACTTAGAGCATGGAACGAGCTGTTGCCTGGTATGACTTTCTCGCGCTTCACTCTATCGTGAACACCTCACTAACAACCACCACAGTCGGCATGGGCTTCCAAAGCATCCCCGATCCGGAGAACTACCACGACCTTCCCACCCCCATCGTCTGGCCCAACGCTACCGTCTTTACGACATCAATGACCCACCAGCTTCACTGCCTCTACGCCGTCGTTGCCGTCTACTCCGGCATGACATCCGGGCACGAGCTCGAGGAAGACCATCACTGGCACATGATCCATTGCTTCGACTACATGCGCCAAGCTATCATGTGTAGCGCGGACATGGCTCTCGAGGGATTGGAGACGACGTTCCCTGATCACAACGGTGGCAGTGATGGCTGGGATAGTAAGCATGTCTGCAAAGATCCCAAGATGGTTAGGCAACGGTTGGAGAGTGTGAGGGCGTATGATGATCAAGAGATCTTCTGAACAGGTCGTATGTCAGCATATGCCAATGACAGTCTCACTCTTGGGGGTTTTTGTGTTGATCATGCATCACAGTAGTCTATCATTAGACATGATCGTCATATCTTCATATATAATATACACTTTCTTGTACAAGCCGCCGGTATCTGAACATCGCTGTGATAACCACCGATATCCCAGAAGCTTATCCACGAAATCATTCAAGCACGCGGCTAGCCATCCAAGACCGTCTAGCCTGCGCCGGGCAGCAAGAGAAATAAAACGGTTATACCAGTTGAAAACGAAGAAGCAGTAGATTAACCGATAGCCCGGGAGGTACTTGGGACATTATCAGTCTCCAGACAATGTATCACAGCTTACCCTGGAGGTTCTTACTGTTACCCACAAGAGCCCGCGAATCTCCACCGACTATCAGGTTACATTACGCCTATGTATACGCGATCACTTCACATGATGCTACACCCATGTATTCCTCAACGCTAGCAGGATATCACGCATCTTCATTGATCCAAATACGAAATATGCTTCAGCTCATGGAGCCTAAATCGAGATGTTAGTCACATTATTGTACATTGACTCCTGTCAGTAAGCCATGCACGTCAGCGTGATCGTGTCTCCATCAGACTAGCTGAATTCTTCAAGTTGCGTATGGCAATAGTAAGCAGGCATGACATCTGTAGGCCTAGAGGTAGTCGATTTGATATATGTGGATGGGCTATCAGCTGAAGGGGTGTTGTAGATGCCTGGGCCCTCCTAGCTGTCTGACATTGGAGGTTGATGAAGTTATGTCTTCTGCAACTTCACTCAGGGCGTGAGATCTTGCACTACTAACTACCATTGTTTCAAGCTGAGCTATGCTGGTGGAGGCGTTCGATGGAAAGGAGTCATTGAACATCGCGCACGACACGATGCGTCACAGCATCTGTACCTCTTCTATCTCCGCAAGCGAAAGAATTGTTAAGTCTAACATTGGAGAGTCATAGCCGAGATGTGTTGCAACTGGTTGACGCATCCAGGTAGCATACCCAAGTTCCGCGTGAACAAAGCCGAGCGACGCACGTTCGCGACGTGAATCTTTGCAAATCACGGCGAGCATGTTTACACAAACAGTCATGTCAGCTCTTGAATCGACCGACAAGCAGCATCATCCTCGAACATCTCCCAACATCAACTTCCGCCGCAGATCTTGCACTTGTACTCCTGGAATCTTTCACAAGCTACGCCATCGCACACTCTGAGAGCGCACACCTCCACGATGAACGCGACATCCGCCCCTTCAAAGCCCACACCAGCGCCTGAATCGCCAACCGACCCCCTCCACGACCTAATACCAGGCTACCCCAAGCTCGCCGGGCGCATGGAAACCATGCCCGAGATAGCCATGTTCAGAAGATTCGGCGCTCTGAACGCGCGCAGCCTCCTCTACTATCAGAGTGAACTAGCACATCTCGAGGACCAGCTGAAGGAACTGGAAGCCGAAGACGCGAACAGCCCAGACGGCAAGAAAGCGACGTACAGTATGAATGCATTCTGGCTCAACACCGCGGACTTCGAAGTGGACGGCAAACTCCGAGACGGCGATATGAGGCAACGAGAGCTTGTGCTGCAGATCAGATGCGTTCTTAAGAAATACAGTATGGTGAGCCTGGTCGAGGAAGGAAGCGACTGGCTGACTTGTCACAGACGATGCACTCATCCAACAAGCTACCATATTTCGAATCATGAAAGAACCCGATCCTTTCGACCTCGATCACATCCAAAGGTTCATCGCCGCCGATGAAATGAAGAACGACGTATTCATCGGCCCTGATCACAATACCTGGGGTTCGACAGAAAAGCCCGAAGACTACAGCAGAGACCTCGTCGTACTGCGTGGCCGACAAGATATGGATACCTTCTCGCGCTATATTGCTGCAAGAGCTATGCATTGGATCGTGAAGCTTGGAGGCGAGCGCTGGAAGAAAGTCGACGCGAGATGGGGTACTATCGCCATTGATGATGAGACTATCCTCTTGTTCACCTTTGGGGTTACCTGTTTTGTTGCTTCCGCTTTGCTGGTTATTCCTATTATCATGATCATGGGCAAGGAATCTCTAGAGGAACAGCTGGTGGTCATTGCGGCTTCCAATGTGCTTACTGCGGTTTGCTTGGGGTACTTTACTCAGGCGCGGAGGATTGATGTTTTCGCTGTTACTGCTGCGTAAGTTGCTTCGTCGTCTCATAGCTATGGAACAGGTTCACTGACATTGGTGTAGGTTTGCGGCGATTCAGGTCTTGGCTATTGGCGCGAAGTAGTAGAAAGGGCCAGTACTGGTGCTCATCCAGGCTTCTCGACAACAATGCTAGGAAGTAGATATTACATTTTTGCTTCTTTTACATCTTGCTAAAGTAGAGCTTAGAGGTAGGTAATAAGCGTTTCTCGCCTTTGTATTATTAGATAGTCCAGCCTAGAGGTACCTAGGTAGGCAATAGGTTGCTCCAAGCACTTGAGAATGGGGCTCCCAGAAGTGGCATTCGCGCCAGGTAGCACATTACGGAAATGCCTTTGCGCAAGATGATAGGGTCATCACGGTATCTGGCTCCATGGACGTGGCATAAGTCACACGGTGAAAGTATTTAGACCAGTTATCATGAAGACGATAGGTAGAGAGATGGTAAGGTGATCAATGGAGTAGCCGTCAGAATGCGAATACAACATTGTATTGAGACTTTTCTAATCTTCTTGAGCACTCAACTACACTAGAGTCGTTATCGAAACAAAAGCCCCGTCCAGGATGATGCTCACCGCGACATACTGCTCCTCATACTTCTTCGGTGTTCCTACCCATGTGGAAACAGCTGAATCCTCGCATAACCCAGCGATGTCTTCAACACTCCCTTGGTCGCAAGGACACAGAGTTCTTCCCACCATTCAAGATTAGTAGGCAACGCAGAGGTATTCGTACTCGTTAGCGTGAACGATCCTGTTGCAAGTGGGGCAGAACTTTGCCGATGTATATTTCCATCGAAAGGTCCTGCAGGTCCGATGGTACCAACCAGTATCCTCATTATCCTCTGCATGATGGTTGCCCCGAAGGAGTGGCAAAAGACGCACATGACTGGGGGAGAACAAACGTACCCGTAAACAGGCTGCTGTTCTAACGAGCCGACAGTTGGTATTACTACACCGCTCATTCAGTTGTGGCTGAGCGATTGTCTTATCTTCCTCAGTGCAATGATGGTAAGGAGTTGTACCGGTATCGAGACCGCACACCCAACCATATTCAAGGTTATTCACCGTGTGACGATCTCGTTTCGCAGCGGCTTCCCTTCTGACCTTTTCAAGGGTGGCTTCATCATCCCGGCCTGCTGATGACGAATGCATACGCTGCCCTTCCCCAGGGTTAGGGCCCGGCTTAGGGTGTTGAACAAGGTCTTTTCCGTGAGCTGCTGACATGGTGTATCGAATGGCGAGACTGAATACTGAACAGAAAGGGACAGCAGTACTCAGAACTTATAGTTCTATGTATTTGCTTACAACAGACCACCTGCGAAGATATTGTGGACATGCGTACTCACCACAAGACGTGGTCATGATTCATTTTCGACGTGGATGTTTCGTCGTCTGGTACGTAGATAGTCATTATACCAACCGGGATTGTTCTCGAACAAACGTACGCCTGCGATGGGCACGCCGTATGCTGCGTTGTTGAACTCTGAACCATCTCTTGGGTGCTGATGAAGCAAAGTAGGCTGTATACATGATCTTGAGATCCAACGCCTAGCTGTTCATGGGCCTAGGATGCGTCTGTCCGATGTGCCCTACAATATCTTTGAAACTGTAGGTGATCGCTGCCGTCGCTACAGACATCACGTGAAAGAGTCGTTCACGTGGTATAGAGCTGTAAGCATTATAGCGATGTAGCAAACATTTGCCCGTGTCGTGTAACGCAAATCGCTCGTACAGCCACCGGACGTAGTGCTAAAACTGGAAGACTGGCGAGTACGTACTACAAAATTAATTACACCAGGCTGTCGTGCGAGCGTCGAGGACTCACCATAAGTAACCGCAAGCGCCCGAAAGCTCATCGAACTCAATGCCTCACCCGAGCCCTGAACTCGAGCATTAAGGTTCAAAATGTTAGAAAAGGCAATCGGCACAACTGCAAATCACCAGGAAAATACCGAGTCCTTTATAGGAGCATGGCAGCACCACCCTGTGGGTTATCCTCGACTTTCTGAGCGCATTTCTCTGAAGCCGGAAACTGGAATCTATCGTCGTTTTGACGGCCTCAACGCGCGACGCATATTATATCTCCAAGCGGAATTGTGCATCTTGGAGCAGGATTTACACTTGATTGAGAAGCAGGATAAAGCAGGCTCGAAGGGCAAACGAGCGTTCTACGCGGTGGACTACAAGTACATGCTCGAAGAAGCAGATGGCGGGCATTCAACCCAGATCAAGCTGATAGGAGAGATGCAAGAAAAGCTTAACCAGTACAGTAAGTGAAGGAGGTTCAAGAGAACATGTACTAGACTGATCAATCTTGCAGATAAAGCGCTCATCCAGCTTTCCATGCTGCAAAAGCTCAAGAAACCAGATCGTTTTGATCTTTTCGATATCCAAACTTTTCTCGAGAGTAAAGAGATGGGCCCAGACCATTTGAGTGGTTTTGATGCGCAAACATGGGGGACAACAACTGATCCAGAAAACCATCCGCCAGACATCATTGCGGTGCATCCACGCAATGTAGAAGACAAATTTTCTCGTATCGTGTCTGAACGCGCAGTATACCTCTTCAAATGCGGCTTAGGTCTCTTCACCAAGGGGAATCGGCATCTGGGTCCGAAGGTGTACTATGACACTACTGTGGCGAAGATCACACTGTGGGTCAGCTCCATGATTGCGGCTATGCTACCCATCGCCTCCATTCTGGTGCTGATTCAGCTCGACTCCTTGAAAGCGAAGCTTTGGACGATTGCAGCCTTCAACGTGGGCATGAGCTTTTGTTTGACGTTCTTCGCTAACGCCAAGCGAGCTGAAGTTTTCGCTGTGACATCTGCGTACGTAGTATGCGTTCAATGAACTGATGTGTAGCTGACATTCCCAGGTTCGCCGCTGTGCTGGTCGTGTTCGTGAGTACTGATCGTGGTAGCCCTTCTACGTAGGCGGTGCACGTTTTGAAGGCGTTTGGGATATCTCATCAGATAGAATGAGTTGGATATTCCAGTGTTGTTCTGAAGCTGTTACCTTGTTGGCGTTGCGATCTTTGCCTGCTACGACCGTGTGTGGCGACGGGGTAATAGTCTGTAGCGAGCTCTGTAGGCTTCAAGACTGACCGAAACAACTGCTAGGATTACAGCGCGGCACTTGTATGCAGCAGGCTCCACCGTGAACGTCACTGCATATGGGTTCGCTATGTCGATGATGGCAGTGCAAAGGACCTCCGCATCCGAGCCTTCCACGCCAAGGCGCCAGTGACGCTAAGCCCCCGCGTCTTCCATCTCATCTCGCGCGAACACCAACCGCGCCCTTGCCCTTCATCTAGGATCGTTGCATGGCACACACGCAAGCATCTGTATAGCTGAACACAACCGAAAGTCGTTTCATAAGCCCGAAGCGAGAACCTGTCACACCTCATACGCTTTTGACTCAATGCTAACGATCTCGCCTACATAACATACTCAACACGACGCGAAGCACTAGAGCTCATTTTATAGTCGCGCCGATGACATGCACCCCGGATGAGTGTTTCGGAAACCATCCAAATAGCTAAGAGCCTCAAGACTGACCCAAGACCAACCCCGCAATCTGGCCACCCCGCCGTTGCACGCCCAGACAAGCTGAGCACTGACGTTCTCGGTGTCATTACTGGATGACAGATCTGCGCTCATGCTTCGACCACGAGCATCATTGGACAATCCCACGTTTGGCTTCTCGGCATGGCAGCGGTGTCGCAAAGCTGGCGACGTTGGCACTTCGGTGGTAATATGGCGCAAGGAGCAGTATCCCATCGTGGAGGTTTCCCCTTGTCCAAGACTTCTTCACTTCGTGCTCGGGTCTTCTGATGACTTGGTTGGATCTCATTAGACCCTGTTCCTTGTCCACTTGCTCCATTTGGATCCATATGCGAGGCGCCAAAAGATCAATAGGCTTTCTGTCTGCCGGGTTTGTGATGGAGATGGAACGCACGGCATGCCCAGCCACGACACCCCGAGCTCTTGGGAAGCTTCGCCCTGGCTGTAATCCGGAATTTGCCTCGGTCTCCATCGTCATCGCTCCAGTATAAGTGGATGCGTGATAAGAGAAATGATCCGCAGCTGCTCTTGTCCCTGCGACGATCCTCCCCTGTATTCTTGAGCCTTTTCCACGGTGCAGAGAACTCCGGATATTCCGCCCATCATGAACAGCGACGACGATTACAAGCAAGACATTACTCACAAGGAAGCAGTCAGTCCGACGGCGACGGACAACAACGTCTCGGAGTATGCTTATGATCAGATCGAAGAGAAGAGGTTGGTGCGTAGGGTCGACTGGAGGCTGCTACCTATATTGGGTGCCCTGTACTCCATCGCGCTCATAGACCGCACAAACGTCAGTTGAGACACCTTCTGTCCGCATCTAGACGAAACGCTTACCAGCGACAGATTTCTAACGCCCGAGTTGCTGGAATGGGACCGGATCTCAACCTCCAAATCGGAGATCGCTACACCATCGTCCTGGTTCTCTTCTTTCCGACATACTTCCTGCTTGAGCTTCCATCTAATATCGTCCTTCGTAAGGTGGGCAGCGCGAACTGGCTAGCTTTCATCGCCGTATCATGGGGTGCTGTCATGATCGGACAGGGCTTCGTCGAAAGCTGGATTTCACTTGCCATATGTCGTGTATTACTCGGAGCTTTCGAGGCTGGGTTCTTCCCTGGATGTGTATATCTCATCACTTGTTGGTACCGCCGCTATGAGACACAAAAAAGGTATGCGACCTTCATCAAACTAAATGCATGGTAGCAATGGCTTACCAAGAATGCAGACTGGGTGGCTTCTATCTCTTCTCTGTAGGTATCGGTGGTCTCGCGAACATCCTTGCGTATGGTCTTATGCAAATGGAAGGTGTCGGCGGTCTCCGAGGCTGGAGATGGATCTTCATCATAGGTAAGCGAAAACCACCACCAATTTCTATCTAGGCCTTCTCTTCACATTGCGCTTCGCATCGATCTGAGGCTTCTCCGGCTTTGTTGATTCTACTCAAGTAATACTGACGCTCAATGTAGAGGGCATCTTGACCTGCATTGTTGCGATCGCAGCATGGTTCATCATCCTAGACTTTCCCGACAAAGCCGAAAAGAAAGGGTTTCTCACTTCCGCTGAGGCCGCTGTCATCATGCAGCGTATCGAAGACGATCGAGGCGACTCGGTAGCGGATCCATTGACCTGGGCCAAATTCGTTTACCACTTGAAAGACCTCAAATTGTGGGCCTATGCCACCTTATTCATGTCGACAACCATGCCAGCCTACGCCTTCAGTTATTTCCTCCCGGTCATTCTTCTCGGCATGGGATATTCGCCTGGTCAGGCTAACGCCCTATCCGCACCTCCGAGTCTGTTTGCGATGTTCACAGCCTTTGGGTTCGCATGGCTAGGAGACAAATACCGCCTTCGCGCTCCCGTGATTGCTGCGCAATCGATCCTTGCCATCATCGGTCTCATGATCGTAGCATATGCTAAGAACAACGGGGCCAGGTACTTTGGCTCATTCCTAGGAGTGTGTGGCTGCCAGGGCAACGTCCCGGCCATTCTCGCGTACCAAAGCAACAACATCCGTGGCCAAAGTAAGCGGTCTGTCGGAAGCGCCCTCCAGATCGGCTTCGGTGCAATCGGTGGTATTCTTGCATCAACGACTTTCGTCCAGGAAGAAGCCCCAACATACATTACGGGTCTCTGGGTCACGGCTGGTCTTCAGATCTACATCCTGTTAGTGCTGTGCTGCACTACTACGTACTTCTTGAAGAAGAATAAAGTGGTAGGTAAGCAGAGAGCTAATGGAGAGCCGATGGATGAGAATGAAGGCCAAGCTGGGTTCAGGTATACCATATAAGCAGTGGGGAGGATGGCGGCGTGGAGGAACGTTCTTTGCGCATCGCGTCTTGTGGTCGAGGTCTCCTACGGTTCGTCCAAGTGATGTCAACGCAATGCTAGCTTTGATGAAGCCTTCATGAGAATGCAACATTCAAGTCCCTGACCTTGCGAGCAAGCCTTACAACCTTGAAAAGACGGTGGGTTGGAAATAGATCCTTGCCGTATGCGGGATAGCGCGACACGGTGATGACGTTTACCGCCGGACCCTGTCGCGTCGCAGGTGATACCTATTCATCTGTTTCAGACCAAGATAGCAACGCCTCAGTCAGCGACGCAACATGCATCAGCTACTACTAGTCACCCTGCAGCCTCGTCATTCGCACATTTTCTCTTTACTTTTTTGACTTCCAAGACTTCGATACCCAACTTTGTATAGCTCCTAGTAATTGTAGTCGCTAATCGTTACGTTCACCATCATTCGCAGCCGGTCTCGAAAACACCACGAATCTTCTATCTTTAGCCCTACCATAAGGATAATCGAGCATCCCATCACCAGGAGCCTGACGTCCTACGCGTCCACGCAATCGCGATTTCACGATGAGCGCAAAACACAACCTCCACGTCGCGCACCATCTCCCAAGCCACATCTCCCCCGCCTCGGTCATAGCCGCGCTGCATGACCACGACACGACCCTCACACTCCAAGCCCTTAGCTGTGGCTATGAGACAGCCCCGAGCACCGCCGAAGCGACCCTCAAGGACACATACTGGTATCCGCCCGACCAATACCCTGTCGCAACATACCACGTCAGCGAGTGCATAACCTGGTTTCCAGGTATCGGGCAGTACGGGAAGAAGTACATAACTTTCCCAGTCTGTTACCAGAACACGAGGCAGGGCATTAAGACGCGCGCTGATGCGGCGGCGGGTGTGATACTCAGGGCTGAATACAGGGTCGTTGCGAACGGCGAACTTGGCAGCGAGGTTGAGGGCGAGGGCATGGGCGTCGGGGACGCGCAGTTCGTGCTTGTAGAGGATGTGGAAGTCAGCTGCGCATGGTGGCTTATGCCATTCGTAAAGGGCAAGATGGAAGAAGGACACCGAAACCTCTGTCGGATGGTCATCGAGAAGGTAGAGAAGATGGTAAGCGAGGGGTGGGAGGGCCATGATCCTGTGCCATTCGGTTTACATGGCGTTGCGAGCCGGCATGACAGCAGGATAGAGGGTATGGAGGATGTAAATACGGGTTTTGCGCGGGAGACGAGGGAACATTATGGGAAGCCACATCCCGTGGTGTTTGGGCAGACACATCAAGATGTACCACGATATGCGGATGCGGATGCGATGGAGGAGGAGCGGATACACATGCCCGCCGGGCCATTACCGGAGAAGGTCACATACGGATGATGAAGGCTCGCAGGCTACAGCGCTTGGTGTAACAATGAACGCACGTAAAAACCGTAGATCACTCCACCAAGAGTGAAAGTATGTCACGACCCTGTGATCGGACAATGGGCAATAGTAATGACGGGAAGCGGAAGGCAATCAACCCGTGATTGCATCACACAACCTGTAACTAATGACACCACATGGACTTCTCCCGACCCTCCCATCACCAACTTTACAAAGATATGACGCTCTCGACTACTCAACTACTCTTACGCCTGGCACTCGCGCTTCTCCTGCCGCTCTGGGCTCTTTCGACGAGCCAGGATGAGGTGTGGACAGTCTTTCTCATGACGGCTCTGCTTACGATATTGGCGTATCAAACACGCTTCGCTATCGACTTTGATCTCGCTAAAGGCGCCATGATAGCGGTGTACGGAACATTCGTCGCGAGTTATGTTGCCGACTATTACTTTGTCGGTCCATGGATGCGATTAGCCATGGCGTATATCTTCTCTTGGGATGCGCTGCAGTATGTCTTACCTTTTACCGAACATTATGTAAGATAGCTTCCTTCCCAGCCATAATATTGATATCTAATGGGAACATAGATTCGTGTCCAAGAAGCACGCCAGAAACCTCTGAGATCATCGCCAATCCTGAACCTGCCCCTTGTCATGGCTACTACATTGACGATATACCTCGGTGTGTGCGGCTACATCAATACACAGGGTCCGAGATGGCGCGCCCTAGGTATCTGCCTCATGACGGTCTGCGCTACCGGTGGTGCTCTTCAGCACGGTGCTGTTGGCGTACGACATATGGTAGCCTATTACTCTGCTGTATCACAGCTCGACATCGCGGATACACCCGGACCGGTCGAGCCGGAACTGGAGCGAGGCGATACTATTCTTTCGACTGAAGAGAAGAGTGTCTCTGTCTTGGCCTCCATGTCTGAGGACGAGAAGTGCAAGTACTGGGCAGAAGGGTCGCTTGTACCTCTGGGGTATTGTGATTGGGAACTACTGATGGCGCAGGTGATCTCGGAGATACCGATGATGCAGGGTCGGCCAAGTACGAGGAGGAGAGGGTAAGGTTGGAAGAAAAGATTTAGATGATATGGGAGTTTTGTTCAACGCTTACAGACTAGCTAAACGAGCTTCCATTGCAGTGAACGATCTACAAGGGCATGATATCTGGCTTCGGTCCCACAGGCACAATCTTCGCCTTCGTAGCGTTCGAGTAGCCATCCTTGTACTTGGAGTGCATTAGCCATTGAGTACCCCGTCTTTTCGCACAGCCTTATACTTACTGCCTGAAAGTCCACCGTTTTCTTGAAAGCACCATAATTGGTCATTTCGCTCTCGTCCCAGTACAGCCTGCGTACCCAATCGTGCAGCCGCGGGTACTCATAGCGAATCATCTTGAGGTTGCATTTGAAGATTGTGAAGTACGCAACGTCGAACCTGATGATGGTAGTATATAGCCTGATGTCTGCTTCGGTGATGTGATCGCCAAACAGGTATGGGCCATGGCCTGGTTGGCCAAGGTGTTCTTCCAGGCGATCAAGAGATGCGAACAAGGGGTATACGTGCTCTTCGTATGCCTCCTGGGACTGAGCAAACCCAGTCTTGTACACACCGTTGTTGATGGTATCGTAAACCCACTCGTTCATGGCGTCGATGTCCTTGCGCAAGTGCCCCGGCAAGATGGCTTTGTCGCCTTTGCTGGACTCGCGGAGCTGCTCCGGAATGAACGCATCAAACTCGGTGTAGAACATACGAATGATTTCGCTGGACTCGTTATTCACGATTGTCTCTATGCCCGAGTCAGCGCATACTCTTTTCGCGCTTGCAGCCACGAGACCTGCCTTTCTTCTTGTCCCAGAGAGTCGGGACGAGGTACCGCCCTTCGTATTCCGGGTTCGCCCTTTCGTACAGCTGCCTCAAGTTCGTATAGCCATACAAAGGCTCTTTTTCGAATCCAGGCTTCCCAGACATGCCCCACCCCTTCTTGTCATGGACGAGCGATAGATCCCATACGATCAATTGGATGATGTCTTCGAGCCCTTTCAAGCTGCGCACTAGATTCGTACGATGTGCCCAAGGGCAGCCCATGTGAATGTAAAGCGCATATCGATCTTTTTCGGCTGGAAACTCTGAATTGGGATCAGAAGAGATAAAATTGCGAAATGCAGAGGGCTTGCGACGGAACTAGCCGTCTTTCTCAGCGAAGCCGTTGGTGGCGGCCTTGGGGATGTTAGCAAATGTGGCTAGCCTGGTGCGACCATGCTCAGGTGGGCATTGCCATGCTGATGACATCGCATTTGGATAGGCATTCCAGCTTACTGATTCTGACATTTTCTGTAGTTTGACTGTAAAAATGCTCGAGGCGTCTTACGGTTTGGTTATAGAAGACACATGGTTGCCATCAACGATGACGTGAGCTGACGGCACGGGAATGACAGGCGGACTTTAGCCTGGCGGATGGTCCGCGACTTCTTCGCATCCTTTTACCTTGCTCCCTAGTCATCATTCCCACACAACACACACGTCGCATAGTCTTGGGTGACAAAATTCCTAAATGCAATGCCTATTGTAGCCGCAGCAGCTCTCTGCGTCTACCCCTGACACGCGCAGTCGCTAGAATGGTAAGGGGTCACTAGGCAGCAGGCTACTTACCTTGGTAGCGTCGCCACTACTTGCAAGCCAGTCCGAGTGTCGTGCAGCGCGCTCTAGAATAAATACCGTAGGTCTGCAAACATTTTGACACCTTTTGTTGATATTCAGAAGTTCTTGCATTGACGACGCTTGGCTCTTGTCAAATCATCGCAAGATGGGCTCACCGCAGGATTCCGCCGTACCAGAAGCCTGTGCCTCAAGCGCTCCGGCGTCCGACTCCCGATCCAGTTCTCAGCCAGACAACCACCAGATCTCAATAACAAGCACCCCAAGCGGACACGATGAAAATATAGAACGGTGCACATTCCTCGACCTCCCAGCAGAAATTCGAAACCACATCTACGGCTACATCGTCGGCAAATTCGAGCGAAGAATCATAGATCATTGCGGGAAAGAACGATGCGTAACAACCGTCAAAGGCGTCTTTGCCCAGCTACCGAAAACGATTCGTGGTCTCCTCAATACCTGCAAAACGATATGGCTCGAGCTTCTCTCGCTGCTGTTCAGATCGTATACTTGGACAGCTGATCTCCTATTACGCACCTCCCCACCTGGGAAGATTCTCACACGCTCGAAAGGGAGTTGGCTCCGAGAACCGAGTACACTCTTTCATCCGACATCCAACAACATCCGCCGCGTTAATTTCCGAATCAAAGACACCGTTCGAAACCCAGGATCACCGCCGAAGCTCTTTTTACATTACACGATCGAAATACGTCTGAACGACCGCACCAGTGCTGATGCTTTCACGGCTAGGGTCTCGGGGTCCGTCGTAGATGGAGAAGACCGATACAATTCTAAAGCAGACAAGGGTAAAGCCTTGGAGCAGGTACTGGACCAGAGCATCACTAGCGCACTACAGGAGGTGGTCAAGACGAAACTGGAGTCGAGGCAAAGTAGCAGCTGTTTCACTGTTCAGGATTGGCAGGGGCTTGTATTGAACCTCAAAGAGGCGTATGTGGCGTGGATTGTGGAGGAGCAAACATCAAACTGAAGTTCAGCGAAGGTGTCGCCATACAAAAGGATTGTGGAATACAGAATTCATTTCGTGGTGGCATAAGCGCAGAGAAAGGTCTTGCCACATGTAAGCTTGACGATGGATAAGCTACTAGAAAACGGCTAATATATTGCCTACTTCCAGGCTCGACTATCCACTGAAGTAGAAGCTTGGAAAACCCAATGTCTACCTCCGTGCTTTAGTATAGTAAGGAATAAAGGAAGCAAAAGTATAATGTCTGCAAAAAAGAGAACCTGGTGAGCGCATCATCTTCCGCAAATGCATTTCGACAATACACTGCTGGGTGCGAATACAACTTCCTACAGCCCATGAACGAGTGTTTGGCCCACAAGAATTACTTGTATAGCCGCAAATCTGTGCTTTGAGTAAGATAATGCACGGCTTGAACAGCTACTAGAACTTACACTGCTGTTATCGCGAAGACGTCGGTCCTTCTCGCCTCCGTGAACCATCCTAGACAAAGCGACACAATGCCGTTGAAAACAGCAATGGTGGCGAGACGATGTACCAGCGAGGATATGTTGACAAGTGCGATGATCGATATGACCGGGAGGATGGAAGCGATGAAGCAGGTCAACCAGAACGTGATTGTTGAGATCGTGTCGTCACGATAGAAACACATGGGGTTTTCACTTTCCTTTCCCGGGTATAGCTTCTTGAAGAAGGCAAAGACGTGTACCAGTCGATCGGAGAGCATGGTCGTGAAGGTGTCGGTGCGCACTCGCGGACGCAGCGCGACCAAGCCATCGTCTGCGTGAGCGGTGGGATCATCGTATATGCCCCAGATGTTCCTGTCTGGACCGTACAAGGGTAACTTCATCTCTGAGCTGGCCATGAAGCCTTGGACGTCCTTGAGGTCATAGTAGTCTGGGGGCTCGAACTGGCAGATGGCTGTCTGATAGTACAATGCCTTGTCTGTGCCGATTAGTATCACCCATCTTGGTGTCCTTATGGTCTTGAGTACTCACTGTACTCCCTAAGCTTCTCGCGAATCTTGAGGATGAGGCTCAGTTGCGATGCGTCGACACCATCCCTTTCCTCTGCTGAAACTTCAAGCCAGAACCAGTCGCTAGCATACCGGGCTTTCTCCCCTTCATCGCTGGCGTGATCTTTGACTTCCATGTCTCGTAACTCCTCTTCCAAGTATGTTATTTCTGCCTGCATGTATAGCAAGTTCTTCGCGTTGAGTGCACCAAAGCTACGGAAGATGGCGCTCTCGGGTCGTACGCCCATTGACCGGGCAAGCTTGGGGTAGCCTTTGACATAGCCTTGGAGTAGCTTGGATTCTGATGTCTCAGCCATTGTAATGAGAGAAATGGAGTAGATGCGGAGAAAGAGTGCTACGGATGTTGGAGTTCCACAACGCCTATCGCAGCGTCTTTATGTATCCCCCTTAGTGGTCGTTCGCGCAATGGAATGATTGTTGGGGATTGAATCATTGGTACAATCACGCCGCCAAGTGACATACGGTAGCTTTGAATCAATACTGAGCGTCTGCCGACAGCCACTAAGGGTCATTGTCACATATCCCGCGCTGGGGGTCGTGGGGGTCGCGGCATGGGTGGAGAAACTCCAGTGTGATAGCATGCATGCCTGGTAAATCTCTTCAGTTCTCCGTAGCCCAATGTGGAATTCTTAACAGTTCCTGATGGACACATTGGGCCTTAGACAGACATCATTCTATGTAGTCTGTTGGAGTATCATTCTAGCCAATCTTGTACCTCTAATAAGACGCTATAGTCGATCGCATGTATCCATAAAACGTCACCCATGCGAAGCTGATTTAGAGACATGAATGATACATAACCATCCAGCTACTCCCTCAGCTTCGCCTGAGGCCGCTCAATACTAACGAAGAGAACTGGACCATACGATCTCAATAAGCCCACGTGCTACATCCATGCGACGATATGTTTGGGTTGCGCAATCACAACGCTCGTCATGACGATATATAAGTTGCGTAGAGAGACATGGCTTTCCATGACTATAACTCAACCCATCTGAGAGAAAGCATGTCGCATCACACAGCCGCCCAAGCGACTGCTAACGTGAACACCCCGGCGTGGGGCCTTTTCGCCTTCCCAGGAGAGGTTCGGAACATCATTTACGACGTCCTCATCACAAAAGCCTACCCCAAAGACGACATCAGGCCTGTCGCTTCGCGCATGAGTGCTATCCTCGTGAAGTTCCCCAGTTGGCTCAAAGACTTTGCGGATGCTTCTAGGCGGGTTCGAGACGAATTGATACCACTCGTCATGCGACGATACACATGGGTAGCCGACTTGCTATTGAACGATATCGACGACGGGGACTGGTATATTGCGAATAATCGATCATGGCTGGAGGGGACCGATCCTCATCTTGATGGCAACATCCGTCACGTTAGCCTGCGACTTAGGCACTGGTTACCGTCCCAGGAGGTGCCCCGGACAGAGCCATTCTTCAAAATAGGCGAAATGGGCGTTTTCTCTGCTTATATCGACATTCAGCTGTTGGAAAGCGCACCGCATGTCAGCATGAGGGCGAGGGCACATATAAGGCTTCTCGACTGCAACCAAGAGGCTGTATTAATGGCCGCGTTGAGCTCCGCGCTAGACCAAGACGTTAGTGCTGAGTTGCAGAGGTTATTGAGCGAGAAACAGGCGGCAGGGTCAGCTCAGACATGTTTTACTATAGCGGATTGGAACCGAGTTGCGGACACCTTGGGAACGACGTTTGCCACCTGGTTCAAGACGTATGATTGGACTCCGTGGATATAGGGCTTCATATGGACCTGTACCGTTGGTGGAGTTCGGATGATGGATTGCCATCGACGACATACGCAGGTCAGGATAGGCTCCCTGTATCGAGCAGACACCCAGAGTACTACATGATGATGTTGGGAGTATTTCTCTGGGCGCCAAACATACTGTAGCTACCGCTCTGATGATAGTTTGCGTAAAGAGCGTTCAGATTCAACCTCGAATTTCCCAGCCATTATTGTTGGGATGCGTAATCAGCCCAGCAAGGGCTTCACACCAGCTTCCAGTTTCTCCACATACGTACTGCAGAGATTTCCATCTCGCCAAACACCGCGAATGTTCAACGTCGCATCAATATCTTCAAGTGGGTTTCCTTCAACCAGGAGCAAATCAGCGTTGAGTCCCTCCGCCAGGCGACCACGATCGGCAAACTGGAAGCGTTTGGCGACCAGGCTGGTGGCCGAGCGTAAAGCCTCCGTAGGTGACATGCCTATCTTGTTCACGAAGACGTTCAATTCTTGATGCATAGATAGCCCAAACGCCGTTCCTACTGCTGGTCCTGCTGAATCACTTCCGCTACAATTCGTTAGTCGCTTGGTCAATAGGATACACACACTTCACGTACCAGAGAATATCGATACCCGCTTCTCTCAACCTCTTCACGCCCTCGTATGCGTATTCCGCTTTACCGTTCTCAGCACAAAACCCCATACACTTGCACATATTGCCCACGCGGTCATCGTTGATCAGCCCTCTAATTCGGGGGTCATGTGCGAACTGATGCTGCAGCTCTTTCCCCTCGGTTGTCAAACTGCCGATTGCAGCAAGTGTAGGATTGACCCAGGCGTTATTCTTCTTGTACGCATCTATCAGCTCCTGGGTCGGCGGCTGATCGCAGAACGTATGTGTGAGGCCATCAACACCCGCGTTCAGAACGTCGAGAGTGTCTCGCAGGGAGAGAGCGTGCGCAACGGTCAGGTAACCTCGCTTCTTGGCTTCCGTGATGATCGTTCTTTGCAGTTCGACTGAAGGATAGCTGAATTCCCGTCCCATGCTGGTCCCGCTCTCGTGCATGAGTTTGATGTAGTCTGGTTGCATCTCTTTCTTCGTCCACTCCAAGTATTCCACCACGCTACTTTGATCCGTCAACTTGGGCCACTTTGCAATTGCAGCCGCCGTCTCTGCGCTCTTGTCGTGAGCTGTGATTACGGGTATCGGCCACCCGTTCTCGATGGTGGCAGCCTGGCCTGCTGTCTTGTACGAAGCAGTGTCTGGGTCCAAAGTCTGCTTCTTCAGCTTCTGCACGTTCTCAAGCTCGTTGTGCATTTCGCAAACGGTAGTCACGCCAAAGCGCAACGCTTGAGGTAGGGCTTCGGGATCGGCCCTGTCTGCGTGGATGTGGCAGTCGATCAAGCCTGGAAGAAGCGTGTGGCCCGGTTTCGAATATGTCTTTCCTGGTTCGAGCGGCGCATCGCTGATGGGTCCGACACTCTTAATCTTGCCATCATGTACGTGAACATATCCTTCGTCGATAGTCTCTTCGCCAGTGAAAATGCGAATGTCACGAAGAAGAAAAGTCGTCATGGTGCTGTATGCTTCGATGATAGGACTGTATTTTGTCGCAATGCTTTGCTCCTGGCTGGTTTTCGTAGACGTTATAGACTACACTTGCTTTGTGAAATGTTATATCGACAGAGGATGCAGGGACAGGACTACGTGTCCCTTGTGAATCACACACATTGCTTTTGTAGAAGATTACATCTAGCTCACTTTGCTGCAGATGGGGGGCCAGCGGTACGGGCTCGTTGCATTAGCGTCCGGCTACGACCCGCAAACTACGGATGGAAAGGGCGTCAAGCCCGCGAGGCCAGTGTCGTATTGCGAGTATGCCGTGTCGCAGGAGTGAATATCTACCCGCATGTCTGGTACTGGACGGACGTGATGGCTTTGTCGTCATTAGTAAGTATCGCGATCTCCCCATTCGGTCAGCGTCGTGGAGAGCCGAAGCCGGTTCACCGCTGCCGACCATGCGCCAGGGGGAAAGGGAGGTGACAGGGACAAGTGTGAAGTTCGGCAGGGTCTTCTATGGACGTAGTGTGATGCAGTAATGCCCCTCATTCAGCGATTGTGACATGCATGAGAACCCGCATCGCTCCTTCAAATTGACCCACAGATGCCAAGACGCTAGTGACTAGTAGCGTTCATCCTCATCGTCGCTTCCTCCACTCGACTCTCCGTCTCCATATCATGAATTTGTGACCTTCATGACAGTTCGGCCGTTATAAATAAAGAGCCGCATTCACATAATCTCAAACGTTCAACGGTTTGGCACATCTAATCATTTAGCTGTGAGTCATTGTCACCTCCGCCACCACGGGTGATGTATGAAGTGCATGAAGAATGGACTACAGGGTCTTCAACTTCTTCTTGAAATGTAGATGTCACAGTGGCTGGATATGTGAACGTAAGTATAACACGATCTGAAGGAGACGACGTGGCCATTGCGAGTGACATGATCGAGGTATAAAAGCCTATCCTAGGTTGCTAAACTCTGAATCCTCACACTCTCACCACATAACAACATCACGGCCGCTTGCTACTCCAAAGAAACTAACGCCATGTTTCCCTACAGGCAGTCGGGGTATACCTATAACTTTACGTTCTCACAACAAGTACCTTTTCCAGGTCGTTACATTGTACAGGCAGAGAACCCGCAGCTGGCCCTCGTTCCACAACTGGCAATTATCCCACAACAGCAGGTAGTCAACCGACGACAGACACGGGTCCACTACACCGGCTACGATAGAAATCTCACTGACTCCCAATTCTGTCGGTGCGCACAACCAGAAACCCACGGCGATGCATACTCACATCCTGAAGTTAACAACCACGCACAATACGACGGTGTACACATCCTAGATCTTCAAGGCCAGGAGATACAGAGAGAAGAGTATATCCAGCGATGCATGGATATCTTAGGCAAAGACTTCGTCAACTCGAACCACGAACTAAGAACTGTGCGTGCGCAGGTCATGCACCCTGAAAGTATACGAGTGCAGGATGGCCAGAGGGAGACTGCGAGACGAGCAGCAGAGATTGGAGTTCTCAGGAAAGGGCTACCGCACGATGTCGTTTGGTACGGGCCGGTGAACCCCAAAGGATGCCGTATTCACCCGCCACCTGAGCAATGCGAAGAGAATTTCATCGGGGCATCTGGAAGTTGGAATCCGGTAACTGGGCGTGCGGCGAACGGGCTAACGATGACCAGGCGTGAGGCAGATTGGGGGCAGCGTGGGTACGGTAGTCAAGGGTTTGGTCGACGTGGATATCGTTGAAGTGGTTGGCTACATAGTTAGCTGTAAATTGAATCTGTAACGTACCGTCAGCATGTTCAGAATGACTAGTTGTGCCTGGATCAGTAAGTGGATCCGTATAACGATCGGCTCCTCCAGGGGAAACCGCAGCCAATGTTGCGGTCGGCTTCCAAGGAGGCTCTGAGAATACCTGGCATGTCGGTCTGGATCCCGGTGGTAGGCGTGCATTCGGTCGAATTGGTACTGTATTCCTTCGTTGCGTACCGATAACCCGAGAACGCAGCGTGATTGATGATGTATTCGCTGTTCCCCAGAACCATGACAGCTCGCGTCACGATGACGGCCCACATCACGGGCCGAGTGAAGAGCGGACGACTGCGACGCGTAACGAACGGAAGCAAAGCCGCTGTCCGCCAAGCCCCCCACCAACGCGACGGAGCGTGTCTCCAGTTCGTCATGACTCCGGCATCGCAGTCTCCATCACGACTCTCGTTTCTCTCCATTCAAGCCCTGTCTGGCTTCGATGCTGCACACTCGTTTTGTAGCTACCAACCATGGTGGTCCTAGTTGATCTGGGAGACGATGAACTGCCCAATTTAGAGACGCCCCATCCATCTTCCGGCCGGTTCAACGTCTTGCCGCCCCGTCGCTCCCTTGATGCAGACGACGTGACGACAGCAGCCGAGAGGCCGAACCCGAATATCAATGGATTCAGCGCGGCACTTAGCTGTTATCCGTACGCTCCAGCCATAGCATGGACTTGATTCCGCGCTTTGATGTATGCTAATCATATTAACTATGCAGGATAGTCAGTCAGCTCGCTGCTCAGCTCGACCTCAACACGCTTCACGACCTCTCACGTACTTGCAGGCAGTTTCGCGCGAATCTGCTCGAATATCGCAGCCAGCTGGTCAAACATACGCTTCATTGCGAGAATGAAGACGATGACCTCAATGAGAAGCTTGGCTCGCGACTGCAGGAGGGGCGAAATGGTTCGGTCTTGGAGAACCGCATGACGACTGGTCGCGTTGGTAAATGCGCCCGCGATATGGTTGGCGACTGTCAGCGGTGTGGGACAGTCGTATGCCGGGTAGGACGTACAGATGCGAATGAAGGGCCTAGGGCTAACAGGTCTTACAGAACTGCACTATGAAGCCTCCACCGACGCCTACGCTCAGAGCCCGCCATCGTCGGCTATGTCGAACGTGCACGAAAGCACCCCTCACACTGCTCATGGCTGTGCAGAAGCAGCGCTCCTTGTCGACGTCCCCTTCGCCACCCGGGTCACCAGAAACACACCCAGTGCTCTTCGATGGTGACAAGCCACGCGCCTTTACGGCGCCAGCTTTCGAGCGTACACCCTGCAACTGCGATAACGTAGTTTGGCTCTGTGCGCCATGTGGCAAAGACCTGCGAAACGCCGATACCACCTACGTGCGCGGTTGGAGCTGGCGCACCATGTACAGCCACATGCACGGCGGCGTAGGCATCGGCCTCGGCGAGGGCAACGAAGGCGTAGAATGCGGACGAGGCTCCGCATGCCTAGGCGCACACATCGTCGAGCACGAGACCTGCGAGCAAAACCTCCTCGACACCATCGAGAAAGAGAGATCGCAAACCCCTGAGTCACCCGAACGCTGGAGGGGCTCTTCTTACCTTACACAGGAGATCGAAGGCATCGGCGGTGTGCTCAAGGTCAAACACAAAAAGCAGGTGCGCGTCGGCGAATGCGTCAAGCTGTTTGAGGACGAGAAGAAGAAGTCGATTCAGTATCTTGAGCGAGAGGTCAAGGGCGAGCTGAGGAGTTGGTGCTCTTGGTGTGAAAGGGTTGTGCTAGGTAAGAAGGACAAGGCTGAGATCAATGGGGAAAGACCCTCGTCGAGTGGCTCGAGCTCATCGTCTAGTAAACCAGTATTTACGTATAGATACTGATTTGAACTGTTACATAGCTAAGTAGTTCTGCTCAGCGATCATTGATGCGTGCGCTCATTCATCACGTTCCTTGAAATTACAATCGCAATATCAATACTAATCCTTTACCCCAAATACCTCCTGAAGGTATTTTACTTCCTGTCTCAACTTCTCACACTCCGCCCGAGCAATATCGCGGTCTTCTCGAAGCAGGTCTCTTTCGCTTTCCGCCTCTTGAATATTGCTGACATTGCAATCATTCTCCCCTTTCTTCTGCTTCTCCAGCAGCTCTTTATATCTGTACAACAATTCTCGCAACTGCAACAACAGGTTACTCTTCTCGTTCTGCAGCTCCGCCTTCTCTTTCATAAGCTTGTCAGGCGGAGGGCGGCGATCTTCGTCCAAGACAGCTGCCAGTGTGTCTCGACTTTGCTCGAGCGCCTCACGGAGCTTCGCATCGAGATTCTGGGACGCTAGTTTCATTCGATCCCCTTCGTACGTCTTCTTGAGTCTTTTGATATCATGCTCCACCTTCCCTCGTGCATTGATTAGATTGTGAAGCGCGCGCTCTCGTCCAAAGGGTAATCTGTGGCCGTCGAACTGCGCGGCGAGCTGTGCGTACTTGTCGTACTCTGTGTAGAGCTCGCGGTAGTTCTGTAGAAGTTCGGCGTGCGTCCAGCTGGCAAGGGCGCTCTTGGGCGTGAAGCCGGAAGAAGGGTCCATCATTTGTAGACCTTGTGATTGGTGTAGTGAGAGTGTTGCGGAGGTGGGTATAAATGGGGGTACATCGTGGTTGTTTGCGCAATGCTTGCTTTGACAACATAGTCATGCAAGGTCACACGTGGACTTTATTTCTGGCGATTTCAAATCAAGCTGAGCGTCAAAGGAAAATACGCAAGACGGATGGGTCAAGATCGATCTTACTAGAACCAGGGTGGATTCAAGATCGAAATATGGATATGATGTCGTAGTCAGCAGTATCTAGAAGCTCAAACGAGCTCTTCGATACCGTTGCTGCCGATAATGTCAAAATTGTGAAAAGACTAAGCCTCAGAATGGTATACCAAAAACGCCACGCTCTTATCCTAAACGCCGAACCTCCGCATACGTGCTATCACTCCGTGCTCCCCGCCCTCTTCTACCGTCTCGCGCGAACATTGAACGGACTCTCCTCCGCGGCCTTGAAAGAGTCAAACGCGAACAGGCTGACAAAGTAAAGCGCTGCAAACCTGACCAGCGTATCGCTCAGTCCGCCATTACCAGTCAGCATCCTTTGTAGGCCGGCAAATGGGCTTTCGCCAACCGGCCGACTGGGTTCTGAAGCGGAGCCAAGTGTGCGGCCTTTGGTCGAGAAGACAGCGGAGGCTGCACCGGGGCCAGAGGTATCGTTTGCGGCTTTACGGACGGCGGCTGTGAGGGCTGCGGGGTTGGCGCCGCGGATGGTTTCGACGACGGAGGTGGATTTGATGACGAGGAAGGTTGGCATGCTGGACAGTATTTGTTAGTTTGGTGGTCTGCAGGCCTTTTTCATCCTGGCATGCAGGTGTGTCTCTCGGGGCATACGTACGCGCTCACGCCGTACTTCTTTGCAACTTCCTGTTGGCTATCCACGTCCACCTTGACGAATTGCATTTTGCCTGGCTTGGTCTCTTTCTCTGCCAAGCCCTGGAAAACTGGCGCGATTGCCTTGCATGGTCCGCACCAATCCGCGTAGAAGTCGACGATAGTGTATTTGGATTGCGACAGAAGTTGGGAGAAGTGCGAAGCGGAGGTTACGGGTATGATTTTGCCGGGCATCGTGGCTATTATCGAGTGGATAGGTTCTTGAAACGAGGTAGTTTCTGGGTGATTGGCGAAGGAGAATAGATAGGGCGGTTCGTGAAGTGAAGTTGCGTTGGTAGTGGGTGTGTTGCGGGGAGGACAGCTTGCGGCAAGGATGCGCCACTTCGAGCTCAGGTGGGTCGTGCGTCAGGGAACTAGCAGTGACGCGAAGTCAACGCGACCTACGGCAGTGTCGACGATTTGGTCAAGATTAATCGCGCGGGTATTTTGCTTCAGAAGAAGCTTGCTATAGATTCCTTCAGCTATGTATGTGCTCTTTGTACATGTTCAGTCAGCTGCCACCTCACTGTCATCTCCTTCACCTTCTCAGTCCTCAACACACTCTCCTACTTGATCGTGGGTTACCTCGGAATGCCATCGCGCTATGTAAGACCAGCAGTACCGGCGAACGGAGTGGATCGGCTTCTCGACTTCTTGGGGATGTATTCGGGCTCATCCTCGCTTCCATCCACCTCTCGGATAGGACGCTTCTTCGCTCGCGTTTTCTTGGCTTTGGGCTTGGGAACTGCTGCTGCATCTGTAGCTTTGACCGCGTCATCGAATCCTGCTTCTTCCAACTTGACACCGACGGTCGGTCCATCCTCAGTCGGCTGGGCATCGACTGCTCCTCCGACCTTACTTGTGCTTGGTGCCTTCTCCATCTCGAGCGGGGGCGAGGGCGGATAGGCGATGTTCGACTGTGGTTCCACCTCGTGTTCCGAATCTTCTGCCTTGACTTTGGTCTCTGCGGCCTCTGCGGCGTCTTCTTCTGCCTCATCTTTGGCCTTCTTCTTCTGGGCCTGGGTCTTCTTTGGTTTCGCACGCGACTCGATCTTGGGTGCTGGTGGCTTTACGACCTTGCCTGTCTCGAGTGTCTCGGTCACGACTTCCTCAAACTCTGTGGAAAGGGAGTCACGGCCATCGAACATGTCTTCACTGGCTCGGCGAACCACTTCTTCCAAGTCGAACGCTGACATGCACTGCCAGTGCTTGTAGACGATGCTCTCGTGCTCGCCATCGAACGGGACGGATAGACCAAGCCTCAGCTCACCTTTGGTGATCTTCACGTTCTTAGACAGGCAGTCGCTGCCACGGCAAGCGCATGCACGACCGGCAACGTCGACCTTGTAGAAGCTGACATCAGTGTACTCCTTGGCGTATCGCTGAGCGTCCTTGGCCAGGTCTTCTCGGATGCCCTTGAAGTTCTTGTCGACCGGCTGACCCTCGAAAGCTAGCCGTACTTGCTCTTGGCTCTCTGGGCTGAGTCGATCGTAGCCGGGTGCCTTTGTCGGGTCGTTGCCGGTGGTCTCCTTCAAGCCCGCGATCTGATGCTTGGTCGCACAGCCCCTTCTTTTGTCAGTACATGCGTAGTAGGCGCAGGAGGCTCCAGACGAAGGTAGACTTACCAGTGACGCCAGGCCATGTACCATCTAGCCTCTGGCTCAAACAGCGTGTGAGTACCGATACGTAGCTCTCCTTTCGCGATCTTTATCTGGCTGCGCTTGCAGGCAGCCTGGCTGCAGGTTGCGCGGCCAGTACTCGCCTGTTCTGCAGGTTGTTAGCCAAGAAAGTGGGAAAGAGAGGCGGCCGAACTTACCAAGACGCCATTTAGGGCCTTCGTCGTCCATGTTTGTAGAATTCGAAAGTTTCGTGGGATCTCGGTAGAGGATTCAGTGATTTGAGGCGACAAGAGGTGAGATGTGAGTGCAGCTACCCGCGTGTCCAAGGTTGCGAGCAAGCACGTGCGGCTTGGCGGGGAAAGAGGAAGTCGCAGTGGCTGCGTCCAGTGATTTCCACGAACTCGGTCTCACCAGGTTGACCTTTGCTCTTTCTTCTCATTTTAAATAATGCAGAAAGCTCTGAAAGCGACTGATGAGCGATGAGTGGCGCCCGAGACATTTGTGGTCTTGTTTGTGGCCGAGACAGCCCAGGAGACGAAGAGCAGGAAGGAACGAGGTCACAGCAAAACCATTCCCCAGTCATCGTCGATAGCTAAAACAACATAATCTGCTCGGAGTGTCGCTCACCGAGTGAGGCTATCATGGTCCATTTTTGACCATTGCGCTCCCCTGCGTCCAATCAGCGGCCAGCAGGAAGTCAGTCGCGACTTATTAGCAATGCTTAAATGATATCTCAGGGCAAATTAGGTTGGTACGCGCAGGAGTCTGAACTTGATTCAAGCTTGACGTCTTCTATCCTGAGGTTTATGAAGTTCGATTGAGCATTGCGGGGAACAGCGGGGAAGTCCGTCTTCACTAGTCTACATGCGCTGACTCAGACAACCCTCTAGCTATCTCCACAACTCAACAGAACGCATTAGTGGTCAGATGCTTTTCCGAGAACCGTGACTCACTATTCCGCTGGTTGAAGCATATAAGATACGAGACAAGCATACCAAGCAGTCTCTCGTTCCTTCCTCACCCTGGCAGCTCAACCCTCAGCATCCAATACAAACATGACAGACCCTCCAGCAGACAAGAAGCTTTACGTCAACGCTGAAGATGCACGATCGTTCGTAACCTCAGTTCTGGTCGGTAATGGCGTCGCGCCTGAGAACGCGAGCATCGTTGCCAAATGCCTCGTAGCAGCCGACCTCCGCGGCGTCGACACCCATGGCATGAACAGAATCCCGTCATACATGGAGCGCGTCCGCCAAGGAGTCTTGAACAGTGCAGCAATACCTACTCTCACCCAAGTAACGCCAGTGGTCACCCAAGTCGACGCCAACAATGGCTTCGGCTTTCTTGCCGCAGACGCCGGCATGGCTGCGTGCATCGAATCCGCAAAGACATATGGTATTGGGATGGCGAGCATCAAGCATTCGAATCATTTCGGTATGAGTGCTTGGGTCGTACAGAAAGCGCTTGACGCCGAAATGATGAGTCTGGTGTTTACCAATTCGAGCCCTGCGCTACCGGCTTGGGGCGGGAAGAGTAAACTGCTGGGTGTCTCGCCGATAGCATGTGGTGCGCCGGGGAAAGAGCAGCCTTTCGTGTTGGATATGGCTCCATCGATCGCGGCAAGAGGAAAGATTTACAAGGCGAAGAGGAGGGGTGAGAAGATACCGCTGGACTGGGCGCTGGACAAAGATGGAAAGCCAACGGATGACCCAGAAGCAGCACTTGACGGCGGTGTCATGTTACCCATGGGTGGACCAAAGGGCTCGGGTCTGGCTGTTATGATGGATGTCTTCTCCGGCGTACTCTCCGGTTCCGCATTCGCAGGCGACGTTACAAATCCATACGACCCATCCAGACCCTCAGACGTTGGTCACTTCCTCGTCGCGGTGAAGCCAGATCTTTTCATGAGCTTGGACGACTTCAGGGAGAGGATGCAGATTCTGTATGATAGGGTTACCGGTGCGGAGAAGGCAGCGGGTGTGGAGAGGATCTACTTTCCGGGCGAACTTGAGCAATTGCAACAACAGGAAAGAGAGAAGACGGGTATTCCGTTGGTGCAAGCGGAAGTTGATGCGCTGAACGCGGAGGCGGAGAAGGTTGGCGCGAAACCGTTAGTTATCACGTAGGCGTGTAGACGTGGTAGAATGCATGCTATTGAACCATGGACTTCACAGGGCCAAAGTACATGAGTAACTGCGATCTCTAGGATAAGCCGGGATGACAGGCAGTCTTTTCATCAGGCGAGATGAAGTGAACGCCCTGCTCAATGGAAACCCTGAACATGTACCTGCAGCCTAGGTTTTTCAACACGTTTCTGTATCACCTGGAAGGCAATGTCGCCTTAACAGCCTTTTCTTGTAAGGTTTTCACTGTGTACCTACCTAGGTAGAAGTAGGTGCCCGGCTTTTCACTTGAATGAGGTGTGAGCGCGCCTAGTGGATCCGAGCTCACCAAGTAGTCGCGCAACAACCTCACAACGCGGCCACTCTTTCCTGTTCACCCCACACGCGTGAAGGACGACACCGGATTTCAGCCGCCCCCAGAGCCAGAAATGACGCCCTCGGATGCGCTTATGATAGCTGAGGACCTGCCAGTCAAGTTGACCTCGCTCAACCAGGCGCTCCAGCCATTTCGCCACTCATATACACACACGCCGGCATGAAGTGAAGGTGAAGGCGCCTGGTACCAGCCACCTCAATTCAGACTTCAATAGCGCCGTCCAGCTGGAAAGTCTCTGCTCGGATCCGTTTCTTCTATCGCACAAATCAATATTGACCTCACTTCCGCTTTCTCCATACATCGCCCACCTCTACCGCACACTATCTGCTCAATGGAACCTCAAGGGTCGCAACTGCCGCCTGGAGCGCATATGCGGTTCATCAGACACACGCCAGTCAACCTAGATTCGCTGAATCAAGCTCTTGAACCATTTCACGACTCTTACTCGCACATGAGGCTGGTCCTCTTGTCTTTTTGCGAAGTCCTCCAGCTCACGTCCTCATATGCGTCCACACAATCTACGCTCCCGCCGATAGACTACCAACGTCAGATCTACGAGCTATGGAGCTGGTTACTCGCCAGTCTCCGAGATCCCCGTACAGACGAATATAGCGACCCAGAGTCGCTCCAGGTGGCGCAACACATGGCTAAGCAAAACCCTATCAAGATCTGGCTCGAGCTGGAAGCGCATGTATTGCGAAACATGCTGGGAGGGGAACCTAGCGAAATTTTGGAAGAGCAGGGGCCATGGTACACGGTGGTCGACAGGGGAAGCAAGTGGCTTGTCGAATGCGCCATTCTTGGTCTCACCAACACGTCTATCGCGCCTGATGCGAGCCACGATACGATCCAGAGACTCAGCGCCGTTGCGACCTGCGGACTCAAGTACGGATCAGCAGAGTCGAGTCCCCCAGGTGCTATGCGTCACGGTATCTTCGGCCCTGGAGGTGTGTTGTGGTCTGTGATGGAAGCCTTCGCTCGCGATCACCGAGGTATTGAGGAAACTCTACGCATCGTCCACGATCAGGCTATGAACATTGCGAGTATCTTTGTACACTCTCTCGAGCATGCAGATCAGCCGACCGAAGAGCTGCCATCCTACAACTGGTATGCACATGGCTTAGCCGACGCTCGCCATAAGTTCATCTCACTCGTCCAAGACCGGGATCCATTCGGCCGTATACCTCAATATGTTCGGAATGAGTTGAAAGACGTACATTTCGTGCGCCTCTGGGACGCCATTTGGCAAATCGCCGAACAACTGGCCAGCGCTTCCGATTATGATCCATTCTACCTTCCTGTTGAATTGTTCGAGTGGATCGCAGATGATGTGGACGATCTGCTTCCTCATCTTGGATCTTGGGCTTCGAAGGAACAGAGAGTAGCAATGGTTGCCAGAACCATCTGGTGGCGTCCAACTACTATGGACGGAAGGGCCATGTTCATACCAAGAAACGACTACGCCGATCCTCTTCCACTGGCAACTATTGACGTTGAAGATATATCGCATCGACAAGATCTTCCCGACTCAGTCAATGGCTGGGGTGAACGCTTCTATGAGTTCGACGAAGAGGACCAGGAGGAAATCGTGATGAATTTCGACGAAGCTGTCAGTCTAGAAGCTTACGGCCCTGTTCTCGACCCCAGCAATGTAGCTGCAGTCGCGACTGTAAAGCCTGAGGATCAACGCTGCACGATATGCTTGGAAGATCATATCCACAGCCATGGCGACGGACGAACTATGAAACTCAACACATGTGGACACATGTTCCACTATGAGTGCATCTTCGAACTGCTCAACGGGACGTCGGCGAACAGCAACCTTTGCCCAGAGTGCCGCGGACAATTCAGCGAGCAGCGTAGGAAGGTGCGCCCAGCTCAACCAGTGTTGGGGTCGGAGCAGTAGGAGGATGACTAGGGCTCGGGGTGCATGGAAATGAGGATGATGGCGACTGTATATGAGCGGGCTCATATAGAGATGGTAATCATGCCAACAAAGTTGGTTTCATAGCACAATATACAAGAGAGAAACTGAACACCCTTGAGTACCCTGCAGCCCACATTAACATCAAGAAACAAGTTAGCAAACTATTGACTGAATGCAGGCCCCTGGGTCGCCTCTTAGGGCGGACCTGCGAGCTGTGAAAACACCAGCGCAGCTATACGTCACCTCGAAATCTCCCCTGGGTCAACAGCTTTTGTTGTCTCATGTAGGTGTGTGTTCAATTTGACCATTGTATGAAGTGATCATGAAGCCCTACATTACGAATCACAGGTCAATAAACCACTGTGACAGCCGTGTATGACATCATTTGGCATTCAGACGCAGGCAATGCACCCAGAGGTATGAGGCCTCCAATGCCGCATCTCTGATCATCCTCCATTGGATGCGCATCGCTACAGACTGAGGAACGAAGACGGCGAGCGTCGACAAAATGGTTTGCACCCAAACGCGGCGTGTGAAGGAGATGGCAGGAAAGAGGCGAACGCGATGAACTCATAGCTAGACGCGTTCTAGGACCGGACGCGTCTTCGAAAAGGAGCTATCGCTTAAAGAGGACTAGTCTACAGGCTAGCGTCGAGCTTCGCCGCGGAGGCGCCCAGCGTCAGCAACCACCCATCCTGCCCCAAGTATATGCTCATTTCTGTAATCTACCCAATGACAAAGATCGTTTGAGATCCATCCGGTAACGGTGTAGCTCGGTCCTTGCCTGGACGTCATCGCTTTTGAGGTCTAATGTGCCACACTGGGGTCGTGGCAAGGAGCCAGGCGTACGCCTGTCACTATCGAGAGACGGAGATCGATTAGCAGCGAACAGATCCTGCCAGCCTGCTGTTTCATGGTACGAGCGATGTTGTGAGTGAGTTGATCTCGGAAGCTAGAGCCCATACTCAGATGCCTTCACATGCAGCAGCATGATGCTTCATTTGGCGTATACAGAGAAGCAGTGGCAGGCAGTCTCCCAGACGAGGTGTAGTTGCCTGTACCCCAATGAACATTCTTGCTGTAGCAACTGCATCACTTTCGTGAGGGGCAGGGCCACTCGTTTGCCCACGAGTGCTCTTTCCACCGCTGCTATCCCACGTTGTCTTGGCAAACAAATGAGCTTCACCACCTCGCCCAACTCCCACACACAACCATACAGAGATACCACCGCCTCAAAGCCACCCTCGGTGACTACTCACGCAGGATGGCGGACCGAAACACCTCACCACCGATTACTGTTGCATCACTGCGCGCAATCCGAGAAAAGAAGCGACAGCTGGTAGCTCAGCCACCTCCGAGTCCTTTCGAGCTTACACATCGACCTCGTGACGCCCAACCACCGATAAAGGAAGCGATTGAAGAAACCTCAGGTCCCTCCAAATACACCCGTCATAAACTGGCAATGGACGCAGTCATCAAGCAAGAAGATGTTGAGCCCGCAAACCCATACGAATATACGCATAACGTGCTTAAAGGACGCCTGACCGAAAAGCAAGACGAAGACAACATCAAGGCCACAAATGATCTAGAGGATTTCCAACGCTCTACTTTCAACGAATACTGGCATGTTTTCGGAGACCTTCCGAGAGTTGAAGACATTCGAATGATCATCACAGCCTTGTACCGCATCAACGAGCCGACCGGTTTGTCGAAGAAGTGGGCAAATGCCTTCCGTCATAAAAAGCGACTTGGCCTGTTTCTCCTAGAAGATGTATTAGCTCAAGGACTGCAAAATGAGGGACTAGTGACCATGGCGACTCCCTCAGAGCATGCTCGCTCGATGCTCCTTCGCCCAGATCTCATAACAATGGCGAGTGTGCAAGCGTTGGGTCAACAAATCAAGCAAACCAACAAGGCGCAGAAGAAGGTCTCGAAGCTTCTGCGAGCTAGGGAGAGGCGACAAGCAGGTGCACATTTGGATGACTGGCTCGAAGGCGGGGTGCAGGAGGATGTTCGTATGATGCATACTCAAGCACATCAGTCCGACGCAGAAGACACACTGGATAGCGAGCCAGCTCACGACGCTCTGGGATCTGCTCCGCGTGGCGTCGTTCTCGGAAAGCGCTCGGCATCGTCGCCTTTGCAAACAGACGATCGAGGCTATGCCGCCGAAATATCATCTTTCGTAAAACCTGAGCTTGACGATGTTGTCGCTGGAGATGCGGATCCGTCCCTGGTGGCCATGTGGCAGGTTGTACCCGACCTCCAGAAAGATGCTATGCAGGACATCAAGACTCAAATCATCGTTCCAACAGTCGTCGAATACTTGGACATCGTCAAGCGGCGCAAATTGGGCACTCTTGCGACTGGCAATGGTACTAATGCGGATTGGCGACTACCGCAGTCCCAACCAGCCATCGTTGCCCAGACACTCGCAAAGCACAGCGTCTCATCTTCGTCTCCCTCGAACTTTCGTATCGAAGGATTCCTGATGGGCATCAGGAACGGTACCCTGACTGAAGAGAAGGTGCCGAGCAATTTCTCGATCAAGATCCAGGTGGATAACGGCGACACCGCCATCCACGCCTCTGTGCGTACCGACGCCTATATGACCATCTTCAAGGCCCTCAACGCCCTGAATTCACTTGACCGTGACATGAACAAGGTGGAACACAGCAAGGCAAATGGTATAAAAGGCAGATGGACGTGCTTGTTCAAGAAGGCGCTGAACGAGATGTGCAAGTGGCCAGCTGAAGGTGAAGCGGGACAGTACGCATGCGACTGGTGTATGAGACGTCGTCGTCCTTGCGTCATCGCCATCAAGGGTGTCTTCTCAGTTGCTCCATTGGCTCCTAGTTTGAGGATGGGTCGTGGGTCGGCTGACAGGGAGTACTGTGTGCTGCCCGAAGGGGCTGTATACGTGAAGCCAAAGTTCTTCTCGTAGAGCTTTCCGCATCGAACAAAACGTGTGGAATATGGATACTCTACCGAGGAGTGATGAGCTAGACATCAAGCAGCAGTCATGTATGTTAGTTTCGTGTACCAAGTATTTAGGTATGGATAGTTTAGCGGTCTCAACAAACAACAAGTATCCTTCAATGTACACACCAAAGGTATCCCGTGAAGACTTGAACCTCGAGCGCGAAGCCCGGAAGAGATAACAAGTATCAGAAACCAGCGCGGGTAGAACGTCCCTGTCGGAGCATCTCGATATCAGTCTGGAGGTATTGTAATATGTAAAGATTGCCAAGGATTCCGATCCGAGAGTAGCTTGTCAAGAAAGTAGATTCGGTCGACGGACGAACACATCCATGGATGGAAGATGGGGCCGCGGGAGGTTTGCGCTAGCACTAGTCGGTACTGGAGCGAGCCCCGCTCCTGAACCAACCGGATGGGACCGAGGCACAGTTGCGCGCCTGTGAAACCACGCCGTCAAGACGCCCTGCACCTCAGTCTTAGACCTTATAGCCCGCCATTGGCGTCTCCCTAGCTCTTGAACCTGCCTCCACGCTCCAGGCCTATCCAAGACTTTCTCCATTGAACCTCCAGGACGACCATCGCAGCTCAAAATGGCGGAAATAGCACCTTTCGAGCACACGCCCATGGACGACATCGCGCCCACATGCGCCAAAGTCCGCGCCAGCTTCCTCTCGCACAAGACCAAGCCGCTCGAATACCGCATCCAGCAGCTGCGCAAGCTCTACTGGGGCTTCAAGGACAATGAGGAGCTCATCAAGGAGGCGTGCAAGCGCGACCTGGGCAAGCCGTCGTTCGAGACATACCTGACGGAGATCTCGTGGTGCATGAACGACTGCATCTGGATGGCCAACAATGTCCCGCGCTTTGCCAAGGACGAGAAGGCGACAGATATCCCGTGGACCAACATGCCGCTTCGCCCGCGCATCAAGAAGGACCCATTGGGCACTGCGCTGATCATTGGGTATGTCGCGTGTGCATGTTGAGAGATACTAGCTGACGAGACCAGAGCCTACAACTTCCCCATCCAACTCACCCTCGGCCCTCTCATCGGTGCCATCGCCGCAGGATGCACTGCCGTCGTCAAGCCCTCCGAATCCGCCCCCAATGCCGCCGTCGCCATCGAGAAGATCATGCGCGACTCCCTCGACCCCGAATGCTACACGTGCATCCAGGGTGCCATCCCTGAGACAACCGCCCTGCTTGACCAGAAGTGGGACAAGATCTTCTACACTGGCGGAGAGATGGTCGCCAAGATCATCGCGAAGAAGGCAGCCGAGACCCTCACGCCCTTGACACTGGAGCTGGGAGGCAGGAACCCTGCCATCGTCACAAAGCATGCAGACATGAAGCTCGCTGCAAGGAGGCTATTATGGGCAAAGACACTCAACGCCGGTCAGGTCTGTCTCAGTCACAACTGCACTTTCATCGATCGTGAGATGGTACCAGCATTCATCGAAGAGATGAAGAAGCAGCTCAAAGAGTTCTACCCAGAAGGCGCTCAAAAGTCACCCGACTACGGTCGCATAGTCAACGAGCGCCAGTTCCAGCGCATGAAGAAGATGATTGACGACAGCAACGGCAAGATTGTCCTCGGCGGCACCATGGACGAATCCGACCTATTCATCGAGCCCACCGTCGTCCAGATCAGCGACATGAACGACAGCATGGTCACCAGCGAATCTTTCGGCCCCCTCCTCCCCATCCTCCCCGTCGCCAACCTCGACGAAGCCATCAAGATCGCAAACGAGCTCCACGACACACCACTCGGCACCTACGCCTTTGGCAACAAGGCCGAGCTAGAACAGATCATGAAACAAACACGCAGTGGCGGTGCCTCCCTCAACGACGGCTTCTTCCACGGATCCATTCCTACCATGCCCTTCGGCGGTGTCGGAACAAGTGGACAGGGCGCATACAGAGGCAAAGCCAGTTTCGACACCTTCACACACCGCAGGAGTGTTACCACAACACCAGCCTGGATTGAGGGTCTCATGGACGTC